CATGCAAGCCTCTCATCACCAAGCACAGTGCTAAGCGTCAGGTGTGTGAAGCACACCACTGGGTTCTGAAGCAGTGGAAATGTGTTCCATAGAGTGACAGATCACGCTTCTCTGTCTGATGGACTAGTCTGGGTTTGAATGGTACCTGTCTGACTGCATTGTGCCAGCTGTAAAGTGCGATGGAGGAGCGATAATGGTATGGGGATGTTTTTCAGGGGTTGGGCTGGGCCCCAGTGAAGGGAACTGGTATGCTTCAGCATTTTGGACAATTCTATGCTTCCAACTTTGTGGGAACAGTTTGGGGAAGGCCCTTTTCTGTTCCTGCATAAAGCAAGATCCTTAAAGACATGGTTGGGTGAGTGTTGTGCGGAAGAACTTGACTGGCCCACACAAAGCCCTGACCTCAACTCCATCGGTCATCTTTGTGATGAACTAGAATGGAGATTGTGAGTCAGGCTTTCATGTCCAACATCAGTGCCTGACCTCTCAAATGCTCTTCTGGATGAATGGGCAAAAATTCCCACAGACACACTCCATGAACCTGTGATAAGGCTTCCCAGAAGAGTGGGGGACCAACTCCATATGGATTACTATGGATTTAGAATGTGATGTCATAAAAGTTCCTGTAGGTGTAATGGCAGAGTGTCCTGAAACTTTTGTCCATATACTGCATGTATACAACATAAATATATATGTGAATCAGTGGTGGGTGGTGATTTTCAAAACGGGGAAAGGACAGTGTCGTCAATTGGCAGTATGACAAAGAGGCTTTTTGTGTTTTAGTCAGTCAACTATTTGTATGTAAATTCTGTTCTCAAGGATAATGACTTTATCTACAATATTTACAAAAGCCACTGTGAAAGGTGACATATGAAATGATAAGCTGTCAATTTGGGTTGTAACAAAATGCTTCTCAGCCCCTGTATGGGACAGAATCAATGAATACTGTGAGCCAACTCCGGCGACAGCATGTTTCACTTGTCATTCGTCAGCATTAATGTTATTGGTAGTTTATCATGTCTTGTAGAGACATCCCCCAATCACTTTGGAGAGAAGTCTGGCTTACAGGTCTAAAGTATGACTGCATGTCTCTCTGTCCAATCAATGTTGCCTAAGTAGCAATATACGCAACGCTCATGGACTTCCAGTGAGAAATGGCATGCAGGCGAGCCGCATAAACACAAAGCACATTCACCAGTATCGAAATAATAAAATCATATTCACTAATTAGCTTTCATCTATTCCCCATTTAAACAAAACAAACATGATTCTTCCATACACTTTCAGTGAAGCACCGCATCAATTGGCATCTATGGGCTGTATTTATCTTGGCTTTTAAGGGAAATGAACGCAAATGCTGTCAGCAGCAACTCCCATGAAATGATCAGTGCTGTGGTTCAATTAGTAAAACAGATTAAATCACAAAATAAAATGAATTTACATTGATGCATTGAATAATACAATTATTCTGCCAGTTTTGCGCTTCCCATGTAGTCCCATAGCAATCACTTGTGATGTGACTACTTGCAGGTACTGTAGGTGGCGCTCATAAATCAGGGACACAGCTGCATCCCCAGGAAACCCTGATACCTCTCGGCTGAACGGCCCTGATCAGCCGCCTCTCCGGCTCAGGGGAGCCAGATGCCGGCGTGATGCTCACCAGTACTCCTCAGAGGCCCCTCCACGATCGTACAGCGGCCCCTCCAGCTCCCGCGGTCCCGGGAAGATGGCCTCGTGGTGGATGATGATCGTTTTGATCAGCTCGTTGACGTGCGCCTGGCAGGAGACCTGGTCGTGGCCCTCGGGGACAGACATGAGAGTGGGACCGAAGCAGATAGCCAGGTTGTATGGGTCCATCATGTTCTCCTCGCTGTACTGGGACAGGCTGTGGATGAGACCCGATCCGGTCAGTCTTATGAGGTCATGGTACCCATTACTAGTGGACTGAGGGTCATACACCTAGTACCAGCTCTGAGCTGGATTTATCTGCTGGAATACAACTGGCTATTTATTTAAATTTATCAGCTACATTTATCCAAAGTAACATATAATTGAGAAAGCAGAGTCAGACAGTCCCCGGAGTGATTGGGGTTAAGGGACCCTAAATTCAATTTATTTTTATTATCATTCTGCCGACTCTGGGACTTGAACTGGCAACCTTCTGATCACATGACGGAGCCATGATTCAAATGGACAGCTCAATCGCACTTAATTAAAAGCTTCACTGAGGTAAAAACCAGCAACTCCCTCCTCTGGGAAAGTTCCGACAGGCCTGCAACCTCAGCCGCCTCTAACGTCCACGGAGAGATGGAAACAAACACACACGCACGGACACACACACACACACACACACGCACCCCGAGTCGGAGAGATGCACAAACACCCGGCCAGCCCACTTCGGCCCCCATGCTGAGCCCCCCAGGGTCCCCTTTCTCGCCAGCGATGCAGGCTAAATGGAATACACATGCATCGCTCTCCATTTTATATTGCAATAAATTACCGCTCAGCTTCGCCCACTCCGTTTGCGATGCAGGGACCTTATTACGTGTAAGAAAACAGAGCCCGCCAGACCGGTTTCTGGCAACCACAAACCTCAGGCACAGCTGGGTTTTTGGGAGGGGCTCCCCCCCCTCCCCATCTGAGCTCAGCAAATGTCAGCTGCTCCTAAAGGGCAGATACTTGCCCACAACACCCCCGCATCATTACTGGAGACACCAGCAGGATAAATACAGATATAAGTGGGTGGCTTTGGCGCCCTCTATTGCCGGTGCAGTTACTATTTCCTCCTAGCCGACTTTTCCCTGAGCACCAAAGCTGCATCCTTCCCTGCTGAACACCACTCTTCTTAAATCTCCCAGATTCAGAGGAGGGGATGGAGGAGTCTCACTATTGTGTTACATGCAAGACAGTCCTCAAATCCTTCCCTGGGATAGCTGTGTCCCAGGGCAGGCTTAAGGGGAGACCAGCCCCATAATATCCTCACACCGTGCTGCTTTGGGACCTTGCAGGCCTCAGGGGAACAAGGACTGAGTGCACAGCAGAACTTACTGGCTGAGGAAAGCAAACAGGTATCTCATGACGACCAGCGTGCCGCTAGGAAGCATCAGCAGAACCTTCCGGATGTGAACAGCTCTGTCCTGGAGACTCTCCATGGCTGCCGAAAGAGAGAGAGACACAAAATCAGTACAAATCACTGCAGAACGACGACGAAACAAAGAACCTTTCATAAAGTTCACAACTGCCATCTAATGTGGAGTCCTTATGGTGGACAGTAAGCGTTCTCCCTCGGTATGAGACACCTGTGAAGGCGACGGCACTTACAGACACAGGACATGAGCTCATGGAAGACCTCCTTTGGGAAGAGGGCATTCTCCAGGCCCCGAAAGTACAGCTTCAGCACGCTGGCGATGGAGTCGATGTCATGGTCGTTCTGGTCGCCTGCCAGGGGGTCTTCGCCTAGGGGACCCGGTGAGAAGAGCAGATTCAGCACATCTGGGTTTAGCGGCAGGGAGACAATGTGGACCCCCCCTCGCCCCCTCAATACTAAAAAAATTCATTGTAAAATACTATAAGTATAACCATTTTCATACAGTTTCTATTAGTAATTCACATTTAACACAGAATATCACGTATGAAATCATAATTAGGATAGTTTCATTTAATTCAGCTGCACAGATTCTTTGCCTGTAACCACCTACAGAAACTGCAATCAGCGAACATCAAAATGACAAGCATTAGTCTTCTGACCCACAAGGTAAAAATGGAATGAGACACGATCTGATACATGGCAGAACGCTACTCCCAGCCATGTTCATGAATTAATGGCTATTCTTGTTGTTTATGTTGCTATAACAAAAGAAGAGTTTGTCACCCAATCATTTCATGGTCCATTTTACTACCGGTTAACCCCTGACATGTAATAAATGTTTCATAGATGGCACCTTGACCACCTGCTGCAGGGGTCGGAGGGTCAGATGGATTTTTATTTATTTATTTTTTTTAAAAAAAGAGCACGTTACCCCTCTCGAAAGCGTTCTTGATGTCGTTGACCTCCACCTGCGACCCGGATACTCTGAAGATGCCCTCGTGCTGCAGTCCTAATAGCAAGACAGATGGCACATTACTACTGGACGGCCATCACCCAATCAGCATCTGCGCAGCTCACCGTGGTGACCGTTTCTCTCGTTAACAAATCATTAGAGTGATACAGGGGCCAAGCCAACCTTTAATGGCTTTACTGGTATATTATAATTATTAAGGGTCCCTACAATGTTTAACAGCCAAACAGTGGTACCTTTAAGTCTCATAGTATGAAGCATGTATCTATACTAGTTGGCTTCATATTTACACTGATTTAGCAGATGCTCTCATCCAAGGTGACACACATTTCTGAGAAGACTGGAGCTTGCTCAGGGGCTCAATGGTGACATCACACTGTGGACCCTGGGGTGTGAACCGGCAACCTTCTGGTAACAGACACGGCCTCCTAACCCGCTGAGCCACACAATGGGTGCCTCCCCCACCCCTATTCGTGAGGGAACGAGGCAGTTGGCAGTGAGAGTCATCAGTGCAGAGTAGCACCTCCTAAACTTGCAGACACTCATCCGTCACCGAATGCATATTCATGCCACAGATGCCGTGATGCTGATTCTCACCCCCCCCCCCCAATGGGAAACCCGAAGCCGAGAGAGAGATCAGGATACAACCTACCATGCCGACTGATGAATCGGATGCAGCTCTCCACCATGAGTGGAATGACTTGGTTGGATTCCTAGAAGAAACAGGGAAATATTCAGCACTGAAAGAGAATAACTGCCCTGGGACCTTCTGCTGAGCTTGAGAAGCCATCATGAACAAGCGCTGCACTGAAAATATAGAATAATATTTGCAGAGGGATGCCAGAGTCAGACTGAGGATTAGAAAAGGGACTTCTTCACGGCCGCACCGTTGCCGTGACGCCGCCCAGGGAGGACCAAGGCAGAAACCGGCGGTTGCTAGGCGACTGCTTCTTCTTAGCCCGTGTATTTATTTGACTTTGGAGAATTGCTGAGATGGGGAAATGAGGCCACATTTCACAGGCTCTCAGTCACGCTCCGTTTGCGGCCTCGCCTGTCAGTCAGTGTGTGTGCGCGCGTGAGAGAGGGGAGGCCTGTAGTTTACCACTAATTGTTAAGAGAATCACACCAGAACCACGCCTTTTTTTCGGTGCCACAACATAATATCGACAGTGAGAATTTCCATTAACCCTAAAAAAAAAATGAAGTCAAACACCCAGCGAGATGTGGAGGAGGAAGACAGCTTCCCCACATTTATTTCAGAGCTCCCCAACACCTGGGATTTCCATGCCTAGCACTCAAAAGAGCAGAAGTAACAAGACTGCACAGACTGAGAGTACAATGTGCTTTTCATTCACAAAGGGAGTCTGTGCACCAGAGCACCACTAGGGGGCAGCAAAGCTGCGGGAGCGAGGTGTGCGGCTGGCATGCGGCATGTGCATGCCCGAGTCAGCGCGCATGGCTGTCCTCGTCTGCGGTTGGAGCTGCACTGTCTTTTGTTCTTGAAAGTGGGTTCCTGCTCTGTCATTGGCAGGCTCCTGCTGCCTTTGTATTTTCTGTTCAAAAATAACATAAAAACGCCCATGGGTCAGGCGGTGGGGGGGCTCTTCTGAGGGAACACAGCAGCACACGCTGTGAAGAGGCGCTGAAATGTTCAATCACCCAACCCCCCCCAAACCCCCACAATGCCACGCCCATTGCATGCTGTGCGTGTCCTCACTGCAGTTCCTAACCAAGATTCCCCATACGGTTGTCCGTATCATGGGATGCTTTTTTTCTAACCATGTTCGCTATCTCCATCCAGGGCGTGACTCCCTTTTGCGAGCTGGGGACAGAGGGCAGCTCGACCAGCAGACAGACTTGCACGCGGCCTAAGGCACGCACACACATGTCCAGTAGGAGGCGAAATTACCTGCTTGTGCACGGTGGAGTTCCTCCTTCCACTGACGGACATGAAAGAAGAGAGGAGGCAGTGTGTTATTAGCATGTCGCTGTTATTTTCCTTCCCGCCGCAACCTCACCCTGCTACAAATTAGACCCAAGAATCAGAGCCTATTTCTGTCATTCAGAACTCTTAAAATAACAGGCGTATGCAGAGCCAGCCAGCAGCGGTTCCTGTGGCCATAATCCGTCATCTTCTCTGTGTGCAGCCTAATCATTAGCGATGAACCTCAGAAGATAATACACTCAGCTTGTGAGAACAGCTTATAAATGATTGGAATTCGCTGTCCCCGGGTTTGTTCTTCCTCAAATGTGTCTTGTGTCCACCTTCAGCTTTTTGTTGTCCTAAATACCCCAGGATCTACCCTCACTGCTCCCTGTTCTCTGTCGCCCCCTACCTGCATAAAGCAGTGACATGTGGGGGCAGAGCGTACATCTCTACAGCCACAGAGTCGACATGCATTAGCAAGCAGACCGCACAGCTCACTGTATGCGCGTATGTGCCTGAGAGCCATTTCCTCCCTTCTGCAGACCTACCTGGCAACACAGCATTCAGTCTTCTGGCCTGCAATGGGGGAGAGAGGGAGGGGGAGAGAGAGAGAGAGAGCGATGGAGAGAAAGAGACAGAAAAAGAGAGAGAGAGAAGGAGATGGTTAGCCAAGGAGAAACAGCCACAGCTGGACATGCAGCCTAGCTTAAGTGACGAAGGTCCCCCAAGTGGTTCAGTTACCCGCCCACCCAAAGACCTGCATCCTTCCACCCTCCCCCTTCTCTGGCCAAACCTTCATCCCGCAACGGCCTGCAGACCCACATTCTTCCATATGCAGGACAGCGGCCATAAACGGACCTCTTCCCCCCGCCGACCCATCGCACGCTCCCATCCCCCACTGGCCTGATCTGTAAACCATCCGCGGCTGGCCGGCCGGTGCATCAGCCCCCAAACCCTGCCAGACCCTGACAGAGAGGGGAAACTATTCGGTGAGACCGCCGCACGGTGGTGGCCGTCCCAGAAATCGCTCGGAGAGAGCAGCCCTCGTGCACACCAGCCGGCTCACGCCGCCTCGGGCCCATAGGAGCCGTGTGCTGGGTCAGCAGTCCCGGGACTGCTCCAGGAGCAGACACAGTCAGTCCCGATGGCAGAAAAGAGGCAGAACGTGATGTGGGACAAATGTCCTTCTAACTGAATCAGAAGCACCACAGGAATGACTTCCAGCTATTAGGATGTGGAGGAATTGTGCTGTTGGACTTGTGGGCCTCATTCATCTCCCCTGGGAGTCCCAGCCACTCCACATTTGTTACGGTCCAACAGTAGGGCCCCTTCATTAATCAGTGAGTAATTAATTAGTGGGGACGCTAGAACATCGGGCGTAGATAATGAACTTAGGTGACTGCAATATAGTGGAGGCCCAGGCTCACCCCTGACTGGGCTGTACCTTCAAGTCCTCCCTCTACATTTAGTGACACATCCACCAAACGATGCCCCCCCCCCCAGCATCCCTGAGAACTCACTTTCTCCCAGCGTCTTCTGAATCAGGTCATACTTGGCATCCAGCTTGGTGATCAGGTTTCTCCCCTCCAGGAACTCCTTCATCTTCTGTAAGGAGAGGAGACATAATGGTAAACAGTTCAAGGACGGACAGGAAGAGCGGTGAAGCACCTGCTCGGGCAGAAAGCTCAGGAGATGAGCTCAGAGCTGGCTACCTTCCAAACGACTTCTGGAGGAGTCTAAATAAACTTACATTCAAGTTTCCTCATTAATTGCCTAAGCTGTATATTTTAGTTGCTGCGTGAAAATTTTTTTGCGAAAAAACACTAATGGTAACTTGAACCTCCCTTCAGAAGGCAAAGGTATATTCAAGCACAACTAAAACACTGCCATTGGAAAAATGTCAATCACACTGAGTACATGCAGTGTTTTCAGCAATGAAAAAACAACAGAACCTCCAATGTTAGTGGAGCTCAGCAATAAAAAGTCCAGGGTGAAAGTGCATCCAGAGCAGTCGAGATGTTCAGAGATTGAGCTTAAGTAGAACTGGAGACCATGGATCTGCAAGCCAGTTATAAGGAGCAGTGAAATAGGACATAGGGACGACAAAAACCTGTACCTCAAGTACCATGACGAACGTAAAACCTTCGAGTAAGGTGAAACTCACACAAAAGGAACTATGCAAGATACTTGCTCATTCATTTTGGTTTTGTTGGCCAATGTGAGTCAGCAGGAATGGACAGTAGGCATTTCAGAACTCAAGGAGACGTTAGCGTGTTCACTCGAAAGGGCTCTTGACATCTTAGCCTTGAGCAGGGCATTCTGAAAGCTTTCAGGGAAACCAGCCCTGCACTGATTCGATTACATCGCTTAACTTGGAGAGCGCTGTGCTGAACATGAGCCTGACAGACCAGGCTGGACAGAGAACCAGCTTGTCTGGTGTTACACTTTAAGCCATCTTTATCACTTTGAATACAACCACTTACAGAAGAGCTGAAATTAAAAGCACATGTCGCTGACCTCCCGTCCAACCCCAAGCTCCCTCAGACGCAGCCATCGCACCGTAAAGTAGAACTGCTCCGTTTCCTGCTGGTTGGCGCGCCTCTTCGCCAGGCTGGGCTTGCTCATGAACGACTCCGAGACAGTGGACTTGACGGACTCCATGGAATTGCTGTGGTGGAAGCAGTCAGTGACATCATAGTCCTCGATGTTCACCATGTCCTGGACGGTCTGCAGGGTGGCTTCCATGGTCTTCTTCACCTACAAGGAACAAGCAGACAAAAGGAACCAATAAGCTGCTTGACATTTCATTGACATTCCACTTTTAAGAAGAGCCTCAAGACCCAGAAAAACCCCTACTGGCTTGATAACCACCCCATGTACCCTCAATTCTCTTAATCAGCAGTGGCCAGTCTTATCCACAAAGGGCCGGTGTGTATGCAGGTTTTTGGGGTAACCTTTAGGTCAGCTGGTCAAACCCAGGTGTGAGGACTCCTCAGCCAATCAGTCCTCTAATTAGTAATCTAATTAGGGAGCTTCAGTGAAAACCCGCTTACACACCGGCCCTTTCTGGATAAGATTGGCCACCCCTGCAAATAGTGATGCACTTTCTACTGATTGAATATTTATTATTAGTTTCTTGCTTTGTTTGGAAGATAGTTGTGCAGAACCTGCTCCAGTACTGCTTACACATGTACCTGGACATTCTAAGCTGTGTGTTTGTAATGTGCCATTTGCCTCATTCGGACATCACTTTGGATAAGAGCGTTTGCTAAATAAAACACAAAACACAAGAGCAGGCAGTCTGAAGAAGCACCACGTTTCACAATGTCTCAACTGGAATACTCCAGCAAAGCAGCAGGCATTTTTTTTTTTGGGGGGGGGGGGGATTTCTATTGTGTGTTGCCTTTGGAACGTAGCCTAATACACCCCACCACCCAGGCCCCCACCCACTGATGGAAGCCTCATTAGTCGAACCCAGGGCCAGGCACAAACCTCTTCGTTTTCTATCCTGAGGGTGGAGAGGCGGGACTGCAGCTGCTGGCACCTCTGGAGTAGCTCCCCCTGCAGGGGAGGTTGGGCACACAAGTGTCCCACCTGGGGGCGGGGGGGGGGGGGGGAATTGAGACAAAGGAGGGGACACAAAATCAAACGTTGCACTCTTTATTTAGCAAAACCATTACAGACACTCCTCTACTTACGAACTTTCAACTTACAAACTTTCAGACATACGCACGAAGAGGACTAAGTTCAAATCAAGTATTACTTGGGCTCTCATTTCCTGTCCGCAATATCAATTTTTTTTCTGCGCGCCAATTCCGCCTAGTACGACTTCTGGCCGCTACTCCCGCCGCGCAGCAGCGTACTCCCAGCATCCTAGTTCTTTGTACTTGCATATACCCTTAAAATGATGTCGAATGGACTTACGAACATTTCAAGTTACGAACGGCCGTTCGGAGGGTCTCTCATTCGTAAGTAGAGGAGCGTCTGTATATGTATAGAGCCAGAAAGGCAAAAAAAAAAGTTCTGCAATGATGCCCAATTAAAAGCTTTAATTTTGGTCCATAAATATTTAGAGAACAATTTTGATTATTACTAACACACACACACACACACACACACACACGTAACTAGGAATTTAGACACAGATGTTGGATCAGTACATACAGTGGTTTATGAAAGGGTTCCTGGAGGTTTGTTGGACGACTGAAATATGCATTTATTAGTCTACAAACATCAGATCCAACAGCCCTGCCTTTGACACTGCAGACATCAAAACGATGCTTATTTATGGCTTGTTAAACATTTATAGAGAACTATCCAAATAAAAATGTTGGCTGTATAGGGTTTAACCACAGAAAAGTAAATAAAAAATTTAGGACGTAAATATACATTCACCATCCCATCTTATGTTAAATTTATGGATGTGCAACCAAGTTTTAATTTTTATGCAGCCATAAAAATAACTTGGTACAGCACTTTACCATGTACCTGAGACGGTACCTAGCCTCATAATCCAAGAATATTACCTGGTTAAGTGAACCAATGTCAGAATAGTAATATAAAACACAAGGGTTAGGTTTAGGCTTTCATGGCCTTATCCACACACATATTTGTAACACCTTGTCTTGGGCCAGGATGAGTGATTGGAGGATGAGTGGCTGGATGGATGTATGTCTGACTGTCTAATTTCCTGCTTCTTGTTCAGGTGAAGACATCCAGAGGAACTGCAGCCACGACATTTTGTGCGGGGGAGTGGGGGTCCGTTTGAAAAAATATATTGAATCTATATATTGAATATATTGGGCTTTGCTCAAGGGGTCCAACACTGACACGATTCCTCTGATGGCCATGGGATTTGGATTCGTATAGATGACCTTCAGGACACGGACAGCCACAACACTGCCAGGCCACACACCTCCCCCAAATCTGACACATCTGAGCAATGAAAGACAAGGCTGTGGGCCAATACCCGACAAGGCTGTGGGCCAATACCCGACAAGGCTGTGGGCCAATACCCGACAAGGCTGTGCAGCAGCTCATGCTGATGCTGATTAAAGTGGTCAGAGGTTCATAGCCTGGTGGTGAAGAACGAGGCTCTAGTCTGACACATTCTGCAGGAGAGCAGGCTGGAGATGAAAGGCAGCTTCTGCTGCTACAGGCCAATGAAAAGAGCAGCAGCACATTGCGTGCCCCCAAACACGCACCCGACGTACCACAGATCAACATCATGCATGGTGGCTCAGTCGGCTGGAGGCTCAAATCCCACCCCCCTCTCGATGTGTGCAGTGGGCATGTTCACCCCATGTTGAGTGAGTATTTTTTCCTGCATGCAGTTAAGCAAACTGGTGTCTCTAAATTGTCTGGGACAGACTCCAGGTCCCCCCCACGACCCTACACTGGTTGCATGCTGAAGAAGTCGTCACATCTGTTTCCAGTTCATTTTTTTTTTTAAAGTGAAAAAAATTCTTTGTAAAAGCTCTAATATTTTTTTACAGATATTCTTCAATGCCAGGACTTGGCTGAAACAATTCTCTAACCTAATTTAACCAAGATAATGGCCCAGTTAAATGTAATTTAAACCATCTGGTTAATTGAATCAACAGTTATGGGTAATTAAGTCAATGCTTAGCTTGAACAAACAGCACACCTTATCACTCTGGAAAAATGGAGCTGACGACCCTTGAAGCCTCTTTGAGATAAAGACAGGCCTTGCGAGGATGATTGAATTATGTGATTTTTTGGAGACAAAACTGAGAGAAGGATAAAATGTATTCATGGAAAAATACTGGGAGAAACTCAATAATATAACCCCCCCCCCCCAGTCTTATGCTACGGTCACACTGCGAGAGGCGAGAGCGTCAAAATGACCGGAAGTCATTCATTCTCTATGGGAGGGGGCGTCGGGAGGCGTCGAGGAGCATCGCGTCGCGATCTGAGCGGCGGGAGCGTCAGACAGAAGTTGAATCCAGTCAACTTTATGGTAATGTGATGTGACGCGGTTGGGCGGCAACCAATGGGAATGTAGAGATGCTCCGCTAAAGAGAGCGCCGCAGAACATAAGCGTGTAAACTTTTGTTCCGACTCAACCGCTCCTAGGCACAATGGAGGAGAGACTTATTATTGCTGTGGCCGGGTACCCAGTTATATATGATGTATCTCTGTTTGCATACAGGGACATAAATAAAAAAAATGAGGCATGGACCAGAGTGTCCGAAACAATCGGTGTTCCAGGTGAGATGGTGAAGTGCATAATATATTTTTTTGTAGTAATTTTGCCGCCATAGCAGAGAAAACAGTGCAAATTGTCGGTAATGTTAAACCTATTTATAGCATTAGTGTTTGTCAAAACATAATTATCTGTTTTAGTAGAACTGTCGTTAAAAAGTTCTCAGAGCCTGGCTGTCTGAGCGGCCTTGTCCCCGCCCACTATGACGTCAGAGAGCGTCTCCGGCGTTGGCTAGCGTCGCGTTCAGGGCGGCGGGAGCGACGGCTGGCGTCTTTGACGCTTGCGGTGTGAACGTAGCATTAGGTTTGGTCCGGTGTAGCAGTTAAATATATCATCAGAGAAAATCCCACAAACTGAGAAATGTCAGGGAGGATTGATGAGGAGCAGGCCTTGGAGCCCGGATGTGAAGTGGGACCGCGGCTGAAGTCTGAATCGGTCTGAATCAATGAATTAAAATAAAACACAGAACTGCAAAGACCAAGCAAAGGGCTGGGTTCACAGGAAACACACCCAGAAGCAGGAACTTCTCATTCTTCCTCAGAGAACGTTCCAGAGGTTCTGTTTAAACCCCTGCGATAGCATTCTGCCTGCTGAATGTGGCACAGTACAAAGCACAGTTCTTAAATTGAACAATTCTTTCACCCCCCTCCCATCTATTTTGTATTGCAAATTTAGCAGTTCACAAATCCGAACATTACCCCGGGTCTCCATACCCCATCCCCATGGTCACAGGGCTGTCTCCTGAAAGCGAGCCCCGGGTCTCCATACCCCATCCCCATGGTCACAGGGCTGT